ACCCGCCGCCGTCCTGGGTGTTCCCCAACCCGCGCCTCCGGGCGGCCTACGTCGCGCTGCAGACCTGGCGCCGCACCGCCATCTTCTCCGACCCGGCCAACTTCACCGCCAACTGGTCGGGCCCCAACGTCTGCGCCTACAACGGCGTCTTCTGCGCGCCGCACCCGGCGGACGGCGGCGTGGTCGTCGTGGCCGGGATCGACCTCAACCACGCCGACATCGCCGGGTACATCCCCGACTCGCTCCCCGCGGGCCTCCCCGACCTCGCGCTGCTCCACCTCAACTCCAACCGCTTCTGCGGCGTGCTCCCCGACACCTTCCTCCACCTCCGCCTCCTCCACGAGCTCGACATCAGCAACAACCGCTTCGTCGGCGGCTTCCCGGAGGTCGTGCTCCAGCTGCCCTCGCTCCGCTACCTCGACCTCAGGTTCAACGAGTTCGAGGGCCGCATCCCGCCCGCGCTCTTCGACCGCCCGCTCGACGCCATCTTCCTCAACTCCAACCGCCTCACGCGCCCCATCCCGCCCAACCTCGGCAACTCGCCCGCCTCCGTGCTCGTGCTCGCGCACAACAGGCTCGGGGGATGCATCCCGCCGTCGATTGGGAAGATGGCCGAGACGCTCAACGAGATCGTGCTCATCGACGACGACCTCACCGGCTGCATCCCGCCGCAGGTGGGGATGCTCAGGAAGGTGGCCGTGTTCGATGTCAGCGGCAACGACCTGCAGGGCCCGCTCCCGGCCACCGTCGCTGGACTGGTGGCCGTCCAGGAGCTCAACGTCGCCGGGAATCTCTTGGAGGGCGCGGTGCCGGCGAGCGTCTGCGGACTGCCGAGTCTGAGGAACTTCACCTACGAGGACAACTTCTTCACCGGCCGGCCGGGATGCGCCGTGGCGACGGCGGACGGCAGGTGGAACTGCATCCCCGGCGCTCCCGCGCAGCGCCCGCCGGCACAGTGCGCCGCGGCGGCAGCCAGCCCGTTCGACTGCAGCAGGTCGCAGTGTCAGGAATCAGCAGGGCCAGGCCCAGGCAAGGGATCGCACGGAGGCCGCAGGCCGCCCACTCCGAGGGGTGGGCCGCCGAGGGGCCATCGTCGAAGGTCGCCGCCACCGCCAGGCTGGTTTACGCCGCCGGGCCCATTGTTCCCGCCGGGCTCGTCCACACCATCGTCCCCGTCCCCGCCCGGTGGCTCCACAACGCCAGGAACGGCGGCGCCGCCACCTCCGACCCACAGCGAGAGCCCCGGGCACGCACTGCCGCCCTCCTCCGCACCACCACCCCAGGGCACCCCGTCTCCGTCCTCCGGCAACCAGCCGCCGTCCGCGTCCTCGCCGTCCAGTCACCAACCCACAACACCTCCCCCCGGGTACGCCCCTCCGGCCCTCACGCCGCCGACCGCGCCCACGCCATCCTCGCCGCTGCCGCTGCCGGCCCCTGGTCCCTGGGCACCACCCCCTCCACCAGGCGGCGAAGGCGGAGCGCCATCCTCTCCACCAAGCGGCGGAGGCGGGACGCCACCGGTTCACGGCATGCCATACTCGTCCCCGCCACCACCACCAACGACAGTGCCGTTGCCCCCGGTCCACGGCGTGTCATACTCGTCGCCGCCGCCGCCGCTCCTCCCGCCGGTCTACGGGGTGTCCTACTCGTCGCCGCCGCCTCCAATGCCGCTGGTCTACGGGGTGTCGTACGGGTCGCCGCCGCCACCGACGGGGCCGTAGAAATAGCTGCTAGCTAGGTAGCACCACTAGCTAGCCGCGCCGCAGGCTGATCTATCGGCCCGGCCGCCACCTCCACGGCCGGATCGCTCGTCGTCAGCCAGCCAGCCAGTCCGTCCGTCCGTTCGTCCGTCCGTCCGTGGCTCGTCCGTCACCAGTACATCTCTGCCTGTAGTTTCTTGCTCTCCTCCTCTCCTTGAACGTTATTTTTTGTTCTCTGTTGTCCATTTGTTATGTCGTTATTTGATCCGAATTAAATTCCAAACAAGTCTCCACGGTGGATTCTTTCATCATTTCTGTTTTTTTGCTCGATTGCTGTTTGCCACTGGGCACTGGGGTACTAGTTTCCATGCTTGATGGATGAATAACGACGCAACGCAATGCGACCTTGGACCGGTGGTTGTGGCATGCACGAGCGAGGGATCACATGCATGCATGCGAGAACACGTCGCAGCGGCACACGAGTTATGCTGGCGGTACGATACGATACTATACATAGTGTGATGATAAGCAGTGATGGGGCATTCACGCCATGCCTAATGAATGGAACGGATTAATGTTGAATGACTAGTCAATTAGGGCCGGTGGTAGCTGTGGCGCCATTTATTTACTCCATGCAATGGACTTCGAGCCTCTCCGGTGGGTCTCCACAGGTGCAGACGTGCAGTACAGTGAATCTTGCAATGGATGGTACCAGAACGTTATGACTTGGAAGAGGTTCTTACATTGAAATTATTATCTTTCGAGGTCCGTGATTTCTTTCACGTGGGAGCGGATGAGAGGCCCTAGTAATTGCTGCCTGCCAGCCCCAGCGCCCCCGGCCGTCGCCTCTGCAACCACAACTGCGATTGCAATTGCGTCGGCCTGAGCAAAACCTGCAAGCTACTACTGGAGCCAGCTATGGCCGTTTGCCACCCAAGCACTTGATCGGAGTTAATTACTCCTCCCTACCGCCCGAGATCCTATGAGCGTGCCCGCCTGCCTGCTGCTTGCTTACCAGAAGCACACGCATTACTGCCTGCGATCCACTGTTGGGTCCCGTGCTTCGCGTGCACCATTGTTCAAACTTTCTTTAAATCACCTGCCCCCAAATGAACCCAGCTGACGGGATCATGCGGCTGCTTAACACACACTCATCGTCGCTGCTGGGATCATACGATCCGATCGGGTCGGCGACTCTGCCACGTTCCATTCAACAGATTTGTCAACCAAATGTAATCCCAGTCAGTACTACTCAAGCGTTTTATTTACGAACAAATTCAAACGTACTCCGAAGAAAATCACGCCAACTGCACTTGTACTCACTCCGGTGAAAATGAATGATACAGCAAAATGTACTCCAGTGAAAATTCAAATGTAACTCATTCGGTTTGGAGGAAATCAAAACGTAGGAATTATGAGTAGTATAGGAATTTGATAGGATGACACTTGCCATCCTAAGGAATTGACTTGCCTCGTTCCTACGCGCAAAATGAGCTTTGAGTGGAAGTGTAGTTTTCTCCAAAAACACAGAAAATGTGTAGTATTCCTACGAATTTCCTACAAATCGAATGCATATATAGGAAATTTTCCTCCGAAATCCTCGTTCCTATGTTTTTTCTATGAAAATCCTCCAAACCGAATGAGGCCTAATCGTAAAATCATATACCGGGGCACAGGCATCTCCCTCGCAATCGAAAGGGAGAAAAAATTTTTATGATATAGTACTCGGTAAAAAGAAAGAACTAGTAACAAACTAACAGGCATGTACTAGTACGAGACTTGCCGATTATTCAAGTGCTTAGGGTCAAACGTCAAGGCCAACTACTCGAGCACATTGGCTCCTCAGCTTTACACATTAATCAATAATCACAGGGGGTGACCAGTTGACCTGACCTAGCGCTTCTACTTGGCGGCGGATCCCATGCCGCAGAGGACGGCGGCGGCCTGGCGGGCGAAGTAGGTGAGGATGACGTCGGCGCCGGCTCGCCGCAGGCACATGAGCGACTCCATCATCACCTTCTCCTCGTCGATCATGTTCAGCGCCCCGCCGGCCTTGATCATCGAGTACTCCCCAGACACCTGAAACGCAAAAAGGAAACAACGTATGATGATTGGTTGCTTCATAATTTCACTCTCCTTTTCACAAGACGAGCCAAAATGATAGTATTACATCATTCGATCCTCTCTTTCAGCTACAATCATAACCCCAAAAGGAAAAAGAAAAACATAATGCATACGAGATCATCTTCTGATCCAGGCTCGTAACCTCAAGGATGAGTTGGTTAAGTTTACTCGTATTCGTTCATGAGGATAGATCAAGGTTCAGGCTTTTTATTGGTTCAGAATTTCACACGCTTTGAGCTCAGAGTATAACTACAGAAACACCATGCAAATAACATCATCTTCTGATTCAGACTCAGAACCTCCAAGGATTACTTAGTTCGGTTTAATCGTGTTCACTCAGAAGGATGATGATATCGCCACCTCTATTTTTTTTTCTTTCCTAACACAACGACAGAATCATCCTCCACTTTTAGCTTCAAAAACACGCAGGAATACAAAAAACCAAAAAAATTAAGAAACACCTGGTCAACTTCTTAAGATGAACTCCTGTTGGTGCTTTAGTTTTTGAGAACCCTCAAGGAGAGAACTTGAGATCAAAACACATGAGATAAACGCATCAAGGTTCAGGCTTTTACTGAAATCTTACGTGTGCGTGTGCTGCCCAAGAGAACATCTACTCTACAGTTTAGAAATAGGCAGATGCAGTCTGAGTGCTCAAATGCGTAGTGAGCTAGTACTACTTTACCGGCCTAATGCTTGAAATGGCTACCAACTGATGGTGTTTGTGTAAAGAAGATAAGCACAGTGAAATATATGACTCGGGTATTGATAAGACAAACGAAAAATGTTCTTGTGCGGCAAAACTAGTGAGGCCCGTGGCAATTGAGTAGCTGAATTATGATATGCACTTACGGTGCTGCTGCGAAAATGATTTTCTGATTGCATCAGATGTATACAGTAAACAACGAGGTCCGGGTTTCTTGTGGAATCCCAGATAGAAATGACAAAAGCATCACATCAACATGGATTATGAACCAGCTAATGAACTAACCTGGTATGCAGCAATTGGCAGTGCGGAGTTATCCCGGAGAAGTCGGATGATATCCAAGTATGGCAATCCAGGTTTCACCTGTCACAAGGGAACCATGAATATGGTGCGACATACACAGGAGTTATCTTGGTAATATGGCACTGAATATTAAGCAAGAGAATTACTAGAAGAATATCAGCTCCTTCTGCCTCATCTGCTGCAGTTTCTAGAAGGGCTTCCCTGTAGTTAGCTGGGTTCATCTGATAGCTTCATAACCAAAAGGGGCAAGACATTTAGACAATAACCAACTAAACTGTACACTGGATGTAAATACACAGAGTAGCTTTGTTTTCAGCTCCATACGTCTTCTTATCCCCAAACCGTGGATTTGAATCTAAAGCTTCTCGGAATGGCCCATAAAATGAACTGGCGTACCTGCAAAAACATATATCATGGATGCATCAGTCAGATAACAAAGACATAAAGTAGAAATGGGATAACAAAAATACTATGATGCCATGAATGATATAGGTACGTACTTTGCAGTATAGGACATAATGGAGACATCATTGAAGCCCTCAGCATCCAAAGCAGAACGGATTGCTCCAACACGACCATCCATCATGTCGCTAGGACTAACTACATCGGCACCAGCACGTGCCTATTTAGTTCATGGAGCAAGTTTATGTTAGTGAACAGTTGCATACTCATCAACCAAATCCAAAACCTAATACCAAGAGAAGAGATGGACCTGTGAAACTGCCTGTTTGCACAACTGATATACAGTTTCATCGTTCAAAATTACTCCTGATGGGATTGAAACAAATTCACAATTAGCTGGACGGAAGTTTGTACGGAATTTGTGCCTTCTGAAAAACATCTAAGTCCATCAGTTGTTTGGACAAAAAAATAGTAATGTAAACTGCTTGTACTGTAATTCCAAATTAAACTTGGGCATGACCACCGAACAGCTAAGCTCATAACTTAAGTACACCTTTTTGCACTAGTGATCAGTTTATCGCCATTCGCTAGGGCTACAAAGAGCTACAGGAGCCAACCAATTCCTGGTTTAAACACTACGGAATGCACCTTCTCATTTTTTGCTAATTTCGATGATCTGGGAAGTACCCGACGAGATTCTTGTGAGAAAATACATTTGTGCAGCATATTTTGAATTTATTTTTAGGAAGTTTCAGTGCCAGGTGGCAAAAAGAATGACTTAACTAAGCTGTTGACTGTTCAGGCACACAGTATCTCAGGCTCTCCTAGCAGGAATCAAGTGGTCCAGTAATACTTTTAGAAAATCAAATCTGGACATCCACAGTGATGTCTTAGAAACCAGGAGCCAGAGGTTCTATATAATACAATCTCAGGCTCATACAAACCAAACTGGCCAACAATAATATCGAGAACTAGGATGATAGTTTCTTGGCCATATGCCCGTAACCAGTGTGGTGTGGCCTTCATACCAGGAGACTGGCAACAATATTTTTGAACTAGCTAGCACATTTCTAATGCTATCGGCAATTCAGGATGCAAGCAGATCAACATATCATGCACATCTGACCCTCTGAAAAGTGTAAGATAATAATGCGTCATTTTCATTACCATCTTCCCTCACGATGCCATCATGTCCATCAGATGAATAAGGGTCCAAAGCAACATCCGTGTAGACAATCTAAATTCGACATATGATTAGAGGCAGCATTGGTGCGAGTGACAATAGACAATGAATGAGGGAAACAAACTTACGATATCAGGGAACTTATCCTTGAGCAGGCGAATTGTACGTGGAACCAAACCATTGTCATTGTATGCTTCAATTCCTGTCGGAGACTGAAGGAATAAAGAGCATAAGTCATTCAGAGGCACAAATAAAAGTACATGGCAATAATTAGTTATATTTGTCAAATACCTTCAATGCATCTGGAACCTTTGGAAAGAGCACAAAGCTGTTAACACCAACATCACGTGCCTTATACACCTGCATATATGAGTGGTTGTCTGGATTATTACATGAGGTCTGAATACTGATTGCTACCTAAGACTATTGGTCCAAGTGACATGGAAATAAACACACATTTAGAGCTCCAACATATTCATCAAACATAGATGATAAATCCGATCCCAGTCTCAGAAAAAAAAAAGAGGTAAATTTCCAGTACTTCCAGTACCTCATCAAGAAGCCCATGTTGCCATCCAAGCCTAAAGCACCCGGGCATAGCGCCAATTGGAGCATCCTCTTCCCCTGCAAATCATTAAAAAAAACTTTATATAACAAATCTCAAATGGTCCAGCATTCAAGCAAGTACTAGATTTCAAGGCAACCTTCGTGGATGAACAATGGGAGCACCAAATTTGCAGGCGAGATGGTTGTCTCCTGGAATGCAGCCCTAAGAGCTGGCGACCTGCGGTTGCGACGAGGGCGCTTTGGCATGTCCTGAACACACACCAAACATGGAGCCTCTAAATTCAGTTTCTTGCAACTGCAGCAACATTGCAAAATTCAGATTGGAGCTCACAAGAGGCCTGATCTCAGGCGTGCCGTCTGGGGCCTTTGGTCTGACAAACGCAGCGGGGGCGGGGAATTTTCCGGCGACGGCGTCGGCCTCGCACTCCTCGATGCTCCTCCCCGACGGCGCCCTGACGGCGGCGGCCGCCTCCTGCTCGCTGCTGACCCTGACGGCCAGGGAACGCTGCTTTGGCCCGGTTCTTGGGACGGCGAAAGAGCTGCCGAACGGCGCGTGCCCGTGGCAGTTGGTCGCCTGGAGCATCTGGACCTTGGCCGGGGAGAAGGGGACGGTGGAAGCCATGGCCTATCTGCAACACCGAGACCAAGGAAAGTGAATTTCGCAGACATGGTTGACAATCGCGTCGCTATATCAGATTCAGTGCTGCGTAGCTCGATCAAAATTGAGGTGTGGACTCTAAGAAACGGTAAAAGATGGATCTTGATTCTTTCTTGGCTAGTGCCACCAGAGGCGGCGAGTGGATAATCTTGATTGCGTTGAGCTCTGGATGGGGTTGGTCATCAGGAAGAGATTGGGGGCTGAATTTAGCTTGACGAGTTGAAGGGACGTGCAAATCTTGGGGAGGAGGAAGAAGAGGGAGGAGGCGGCGGCGGCGTACCTGATGGATGGAAGATGGAGAAGAAGATGAGGAGAAGACGATGTGGCCTCAATCCTCTCCGACGACGCCCCCCACCTACTGCAAAGAGATCTCCTGTACTAACAGACGATGTCTTGCGTTTCGCTGTCTCCATGTCGTGACCGCCGTGTACATGAACCTGAACCTTTTTTTACTTTCAACTAACCTGAACCTGAACCTGAACCAACGTGTCGAGCCTCCTCCCTCCGTTTCAAGGACGAAATCACTGTTTTGACCTTGTTCACGTTTATCGTCACAAACTAAACCCGACGTGAAAGTATTTCATGATTTGACCCTTTTAGAAACGTCAGGGCCCGCGGCGTTTCCAGCCAACATTGAAACGCCGACCAAGCTAGCGTTTCTGGCCAACACAGAAACGCCGTGGTAGCTAGCGTTTCTTCCGTGGCCCACAGTCAGTCCGAACCCGCTGTTTTTCGCTGACGTGGCACATCAGAAACGCCAATGGCCCTGGCGTTTCTGCCCTGTATTTAGTAATGCACGCGGGGCCGCGGGGGCCTGACCCAGCCCATATCTCGGACCGCTCGGGCAGTTCGTCCCTGCCCCGACGAACTGGCGGCCGCCCCCTCCCTCTTCTTCACCAACTCTCCCCCAGATCTGCTATTTTGATCATCAAAACGAGTAGATCGAAGCACTCCCGAGTTACTTGAGGTATTCTCTTCCCAATCCTCCATTTATTTTCAGTCAAGATTAGCTATTGTAGATGCATTTTTTGAAACATGGTGGAACCCTAAGATGAGTTATTGGTGATTTGTTTGATGAATATTTTGGGGATATGCTCATTGTGTTGAAGTATTTTTAGTTAATTTGTTTAGTATTGGATTTAGAGAGAGACCATTTTTTTGGATTAGGTTGAACCTATTATTTGTTAATAATTAGTTGTGATAGATTGTTTAGGATAAAATAGGTTGAAAAGAATTGATGTTGGTAATGTGGTTCGTGATTTATATCTTTGGGATAATTTGTAGTAGTTTCACACAATTTTGTATATGATGTGGTCATAACTTTAAGCATATATCATAACAAATCCATTTACCTTATTTTGTAGGATGTTTGAGCCGGATAAATATCCCGGCCTTGATGATTATTACGAGGAGAAGCATCGTGCTGTGCTTGTGGAAAGAGGGGAGGTAATTATGATCTATATTGTCGATTCTCATGTTGTGATTATATTGTGAGTAGTTTAGAGAAGTATATAAATTGTGCGTGTGATTTTTGTAGGTTCCTCCAGTACTTCGGTTGAGAGGCCACAACCCACGTGAGTCACTGAGGTATGACCGTCGCTACGAGCCTTATTTTAGAAGAATGGATCTTCTCCAGTTTGTGCTCAACTTTAAAGGCACACCACCATGGCTGAACTCGACGGCCATTACCGCCCTTACGGACCGTTGGAGGCCGGAGACGCACTCTTTTCACCTTGCTCTTGGTGAGATGACCGTCACTTTGGAGGATATTGCGATGATCTTCGGTCTTCCGATCGAGGGCAGGGCTCTTACCGGGAAGGTGAAGTCCGAGGGGTGGCGACAAAGGGTTGCAGGTTTGGTTGGTGTTGAACCTCCCCAGTGGATTCATGAAACAAAGAACGATCCTAGGCCATCTGGTGTTTTGTTCTCGTGGCTACAAGAATTTTTACGAGTGCCCAGAGAATGCCAGTCCGGCTGTTGTGGAGAGGTATGCAAGGGCTTACTTATGGAATCTCATGACCCAAGTGGTGTTTCCTGACGGCACGGGAGACACAGCCTCCTGGATGTTCTTGGACCCTCTTCGTAACTGGGATGTTAAGTGGAGTTGGGGGTCGGCGGCACTAGCCTTCTTACACCGTCAGGTAATGCTAATTTGATGAATTTTCATTATATGAAAGATTTTTTTGCATGTGATTTTTTAATGTGTATACAAATGTGCAGTTGGACGGAGCATGTATGAGGAGTAAGCCGAAATCTTGTCTTGGTGGTTTTGTTTGGGCCCTACAGATTTGGATGTGGGAGCGTATCCCTGTGGGCTGTAACTTGACCATTGCTCCGGAAGAACCTTGGGAGTGGCCTTTTGACGGGGATGAGGAGCGGTATCCCACTATCGCATACACGTGGGCTAATGTCCAAGTGTCTAGTATCGCAGCCATGGGGCGGTACAAGGCATACATAAGCGAGCTTGACATGCTTACTTACAACCAGGTAATTATCAAATGCCTTGCTATCAATTCAGTTTTTTTGTTGTTGTGCATGGGCTAGTGACATGTTGTGATGTAGGTTAATTGGAGGCTGTACATGGTACTTAGGCAGTTCCCTTTAAGCAATATGTGCTTTCGTGACCAACATCTTTGGCGTGTGCGTTTCCCCATGATATGCTTTTATGCGGTGGAGTGGCATCTTCCATATCGTGTTTCGAAGCAATTTGGAGTACAACAACGTACCCCGCCGGAGTATGTTGAGACAAGTGTGGTGCTACATAGGTCTGCAACGCCGTGGCCGTTGGCGTTGCCAAAGTGCAGTAAAACGCCAACTGGTTTGGCGTTTCTGTCAGAACAGGAAGTCAAAAACAAACTCCAAAGCAATTTGGTGGTACACATAGTTCATCACATAAAGTAATACACATAGAGGAGTCTAGAGCAATTGTGACATCACATAGTTCACCACATAAAAGAGTACGCATAGAGGAGTCTAGAGCAATTGTGACATCACATAGTTCACCACATAAAGGAGTACACATAGAGGAGTCCGAAGCAATTTAGAGTACACATAGCTCACCACATAAAGGAGTCTAGGCAACAACAAGGTTCAAGATGAAATGCACACGAAGGTCCAAAGCATGGCACAATTCACATCATAGCTCTATTGTGTAGAGCAAGGCCCCTTTCCCTTCTTCTTCTTCCTCTCTTCTTCTTCCTCCTCCTCCCTTTTCCTTATGAGATGAGCCTCCTTAACCACCCTCTCCATGAATATCTTGTTCTTCCTCTCCTCTTTTTCAGCTGCGAATGCCCAAAGCTTCATGGTTCTTTCTTCAAAATCCCTTTGACGCTTCTTTTGTGCCTCCTCACATTTCCTCACCAACGCTTTCTACCTAGCGCGACACTCATATGACGCTCTCAACAATTCCTGATTCTCAGCTTCAAGCTCCTCTTCCTTCTTCTTCTTTAGTGCGGCTTCATCCTCCTCTCTCAGCTTCTTCGCAGCCTTCTCCCACCACCCCGCCATCTCACCTTCGCCATCCTCAAGCCCCTTCATTGTTGCTTTGTTGGGTTGAGAAGCCGCCATATCTATAAAAAATTACAAGACATCAGTTAGTAAGGACAAAAACAACATGAAAATAATATTGGGAAACATGAAAATAATTATGAAGTGTAGCCACGTACGGAAATGGTCCAGCTAGGTATCCAAACATTCCTCTAGCATTACCACGGCCTCTACCCATGAAACCTCCTCTACCACGACCAAAACCTCTACCCCTACCACGAGCACCATCACCGGTAACTCGTCCTCGACCACGACCACCCCTGGATCCTCGGCCACCACCAGAACCTCTACCCATACCACGAGCACCATCATCGGTAACTCGTCCTCGACCACCACCAAGGCCACCACCGGAACCTCGGCCACCGCCAAGGCCATCACCGAAACCTCGACCACCACCAAGGCCACCACCGGAACCTCGGCCACCGCCAAGGCCATCACCGGAACCTCGACCACCACCAAGGCCACCACCGGAACCTCGGCCACCGCCAAGGCCATCACCGGAACCTCGGCCACCACTTGAAGAAGCATTGTGCCCTTTTGAAGTTTTGTTTGTTTTGCAAGTCCTTTTGTTGTGTGTCGTTTCATTGCACCCACCGCATTGGTTCCTATCACGTGGCTCCATGAAATGTCCACTACCAAACTCTCTGGTGCTCATGAGGTCATCCATATCATTCCTATATCGCTTTGTTCTCCTTCTACCCTTGGGTTGTACCATCATCTCCGGATCGGGCCTAATGTTAGGACCATGATACTCTGGCCACTGCGATGCATCCAGAAAAGGGTGAAATCTAGACGCCCATGTTAACTTATGAGTTTGCAAGTTGAATTCATGCAACCTTACAACTACTCCATCGGAGATATCCACATTCCTGATGCGGGCTGCCGACATCATGTATGAGCATGGCCAGTGGTACTTACTAGGCCGCTCACAAGTGCAATGTCTTGTCCTAAGAGCCACCTTAAATGAGCGACCACCATATGATTGTCCATCTCTAGTTGTCCCACCTGGCTCATCCACTTGGTATTTCATTTCTACATTATCGAAACAAGTGACTCGCTGGATGGCTGACTTGTCTCTCTGAAACTCCAGCCACTCGGCAACCTTCTTCGGATAAATTTTATTGGGAGGCTTCTCACTATCAACAATCAACTTGTCGATTTCATCGGAGTGCTTCAAAAAATACTCATTTAGCTTGTAAAAGGTATATTCCGCTATTGCCGTCACCGGCAACTGACGGGCACCCTTCAAGACAAAGTTGAAGCACTCAACAAGATTGCTTGTCATGTCACCATATCTCATGCCTCCTTCGTCACATGCCCATGACCACTTGTGTCTCTCATCAATATTCCTTTCTAAGAAATCTTTCCCACCTTTGTTTGCCTTCTCATAGATTTTGTTCAAGCGTGTCGTGAATGAC